GCGGCCTGGGCGGCTCCAGCCAAGAACGACGCCCAGGCAGGCACCCTTGGATGCTTTTATTTGCGATACTTTGAAGTAAACATAGCAAGGCACAGCCGCCGCTGCGGGTTAAATAGATACGTGATGGCTCGGGAGTGCCCCCTGCTCCCTCAACTCTACGTGGGCCACCCGCTCAGACGGCCCCTAGGCTAACGCACACCCTATCAAAGATACAAAGAGTCCCAACGGTTCGTATCAAAACACGTCGAGACGAGGAGGCGAGCAATCCGAATGCAATAAGATAAATAGTTCTTAAATTATTTAAACATTGTCATAGTAAACAATAACGAGCAGGGTTCTGGCTCAACAGAATAATAATAAAAAAACCCATAACGGTATAGAAGATAATTATATTACACGAAGCGCATGTGTGATGGGGGAGCAAGGAGGAAAGAGTCAATATGACTACATGGAAAGAAACATCTCCCAGGTGACGCTGAGCCACGGCGGGAGAGGAGCCACCGACGGAGCCAGGGCGAGAGAGGAGCTACCGACGGAGCCGCAGCGGGAGAGGAGCCACCGATGGAGCCAGGGCGGGAAAGGAGCTGCCAACGGAGCCAGGGCGGGAGAGGAGCCACTGACAGAGCCAGGGCCACCAACGGAGCCACAGGGGGAGAGGAGCCACCAACGGAGCACCAGCCCTGGCAGCACCGCGGGATGGCGGTTCCCGACTCTGCCAACACCTCTCCAGGCTGTGCTGCTCAAAACGAGCTGGTCAGGGAGCTCTGGCACTGAGCCGATGCCATCAGGAGTGCCAGGACAGCTTCACTCCAGTTGACACCACGGACAAGCGCAGAGGATGTTTTCCCTTTCTGTGGACAGTGCCAACCTGCCACCTGGCTCAGCCTGAGCTCCCCACTGGGATGAGCCACCGGGCCCGCCTGCACCCAGCCCCAGGGCGGCTTCCAGCAGCGCAAATCTACTGCCACGCAGCCAGTGAGTCCCTGAGGGGGACCAGGCCCTCCTCCACACGACATGTGATAGCCTTTGAGCTGCACTTGCCTGAGAGGGTCGGGGCTACCAAATTCTCCTTCAGGGTTATTCAGGGCCAAGTCATTTCATTAAATTGCCTTTTGGAAAATAAGGTTGTTATTTGGGCAATTGAAGAAAAATCGGCACATCTTACAGCTTGAACCCATCCCATGTAATGCAGAAGATCTCACATCAGCCAGCGCGGTCCCGAAAGGCGCATTTTGCTGACACAGTTATGAGTTAAGGTGAGTAAAATAAAGGCGGGATGGGAAGAGAAAAAAGAAGCCATAAATAGAAGGAGAAAGAAAGTGCAATAGGGAAGGCAAGGCTAGGGATCCAGGCAGAGGCTGAGGCAGTGCACACTCGAAGGAAGGGAGCTCATCTTAAGGAAGCTGCAGCTGCAGAAAGTGCTCCTTGATCCTCAGGAGCTGGACAAGCTCCAGCGAGGATTCTCGCCCTGCTTTCCCTTTTCACCTCTCCGGTCTGGCAGAGAGTTAGTGCTTAGGATGCAATGGCAGGGTTGGTTTGTTGTTGTTTTTTTTTTTCTTTTTTAAATTTCCCTTACAAATAGAAGTTAACGGAAAGCAATGTCCATCCCAAGGAATCAACAGAATATTTCAAAGATTCGCCCCATCCCCACCCCATATTTTGAGTAAAAACCCCCCAATAAAGAAACCCCGACCAACCAAGAGGGGTTTTTTTGCTTCTAAGTCTTAAGAGACTTTGAATGATTGTTCTGTGAGGTGCTGTTAGGACCCTCCAGGCCACGTGTCTGACTGTGCTCGCAGAGAGCTGAGTCACTTCTGCACTCTTTGCATTTCAGGTTTTCTTCTTCTGCCGTAGTGTTCATCTCGCCATTATACCCCTCGTGTCCATTCTCACTCATCTCCCTTTCTAACTTCTGCCTTTCCTCTTCCTCTTCCTCCTCCTGCGTCCCCATCCTCATCCTCCTCCTCCCTCATGTGACGCGTCCCCGTCCTCCTCCTCTTCCTCTTCCTCTTCCTCCTCCTCCTCCTCCTCTTCCTCCTCCTCCTCCTCCTCTTTTACTTTATGAACGATGAAGAGGTGTCTGTTCAGGGAGATGTGAGAGGTGTAGCACAAGCCGCAGAACAAGCACTGGTAGGTGGAGCTGTCTGTCTTGTGCCGAGGTATGTGTTCCTGAAACTCCGTGCTGATGTCTGTCGCAAATCCGCATTTCGCGCATTTCCAGTGCGCTTTCAGTTTTTTGGCTGGTGGCGCGTCTGAACCCACAGCGGTCTCTGCCTGACCCAGCTCATCCATTGCCATCCTCTTTGGAGATTTTGCCTTAAAAAAAAATAAGATTAAAAAGTTACTTTGTTGTTGGAGCCCACAGGAGCGGCAGCGCTAAATTCCACACGCATATCTGAAGACACCCAACAGGGACTACAGATTGGCATTTTGACACAAACTCAACAAAGCCATGCCTAGGGGTTCCCGTCACGTTGCCTTTCCTACCAGTACCCAAGCACCTCACCCCCACACGCAGGACCTCAACTGCTGACCTGCAACAGGAGACCTGGGAGGGGGGGCTGGGCAGAAACGCAATGGGGAAAGAGAATGTGAACGTGGTGTGGGAAGGAGGAGCCCACAGAGCAGGGACAGCTGAGGGACACAGGGAAGGTCATGACCCCAGACAATGCCACTCAGATTTAACTCTGAACATCTTCCCCTCCACTCAGGCCTTTTCTTCAGGGCACCTCTCGTTAACTCATCCTCCCATGAGGATGGCTCACTTGCTTACGCCCCTTCATGCCATTTTGTTCTCTCCTTATCCAGCAGCATGGAGCAGTCTTTGTGTAGGATACAGCTTATAGGCTTGTATGTGCAGACCCAGCTGGAGCCACATGAAGCCACCCTCTGCCCCCACTTAGCTGGGTGCCCTGGTACGTCAGCTCTGCTTGCGGGAAGCAGCCACCAACTCATGGAAGTCAATCCTCGAGTTACCCCAGGTTTCCTTACGGCATAAAAACGGGGGAGTCAGTCTTGGCTGCAATCCCTCAATGCTAGGGTACAGACGAACAATAAATTGCAGTGATATGGAAAAACGTACGTCTATTTTTGAAGTAAATGGAGCCAAGAAGCCCAATCAGCCAACCCTCTGCTCCAAACCAACCCCAAATAAAACCAGTTGCACAGTTACATTTGCTGAAAAAACCCTACACAGTCCTACTTAGGAGGAATGCAGTTCTCGTAGGTGGATTATGGATCTAATGAGTATTTTACAGCAGAAATCTTTTGCAACTAGCAGAAAAAAACAAGGGAGAAAAAGGAAAAACATGCTGGGCTCATGAACAGAGCAGCAAGGGAAAACAAGGGTAATAACAAACCTAAATTAGACCTGGTTACAAAGTAGACTGAAAAAAGGCCAATAAAACACAGGGCCACGCGTTCAAGAGCATCTTGCGAAATGCAAGGTACGCTGCCCTGGTGCTGCTGCAGCTCAGCTGCGCCTTCAGGTCTGACCCCGACACTGCCAGAGAGAAGCAAACGGGATGGAGTTGAGAGGAGGGGGAGGCAATCTGCCACATGGGCAAGAGGGCTTGGCTGTTGCACGGATGCAGCTCAACCTCATGCCCCAAGTGAGCAGCTACTCGCCAGGTACGTTTAGTTTTCAATGAAAATACATCAGTTACTTCTGCTGTGTCTCTCTCTGGAGCTTTTGCTTTGGCCATCTGGGATAAGTCTGGGTTTTTGATGCCATGCATGAGGCTGATGTGATTCTCCAGCATGAACGGCTGAGGAAATGTCTGATTTTCATCTGTGCAGTACCTTGGAAATAGAAAAAAGGAAGAAAATTTGTTAGAGGAAATGCTCAGCCATTCGTTTCCATTCCAACAACTGTTCATCATGTGCCAAACCAATAGGTGTCATTGGAGACAGATGCTGGTGAGTAATGTACTATTGGATTACCAAAATATGCAG